CTACACAGTGATCCCTTCTGCTGTACATGAGTTAAACTTCTTGTGAGATACCTGTCTCTTTGGTACTGATTGCTTATCTGCTTACCATGTGCAGTCATGTTGTTAGTGCAGTGCATGCCAGCTGGGCATCTTTGGACTCTGCAGGTGGTGTGAGGTCCTTTACTTTTTCTCCAAAAGCTCTTTTCTGTGCACATAGTGGGTCTCCAGGAGAACTGAAGGTTTAATTTTGGCCCAAGTCCTATGAAACCTAGTCAGACATATGAGCAAACACTCTCCTCTGTGGCATGTACCATCCTTCGTACAAGCTCTGGTCCCGATGATTGTGAAGGCTTTTGCTCAGTCACGTTCAGGTTCCCTTAGCATGCAGACTCTTTTCACAGACTTTGAACTATGGGCATGGCAACTCAATTATTTTGGGCTCTACCAAATGCCCAATACGCATACCTGTCCCTCATCACCAAATGCCAAATATCAACTGTAGAAATGCAGAAACTAAATGCATATACTTCTAAGACTCAGCAGTAGCTCCCTGCTTCCTGCAGTTAAGAGGGAAAGCAGCTCCTATCACTTGAGAAGGACACCAGAAGTAAGGGCAGGGACAGGTCAGTAACCTGCCAGAATGCAATTGCAAATTGCAGTTGCCATTTGTTAGCATTTATTGCCCTGCTGAAATTATTGGAACTATAATAAAACGTCAGACTTTACTGTTAATCTGCCTCAGCACAACATGGGGTAAATCTTTGATTCAGTGGAACAGTTAATTGCCAAGATGTCCTTCCAGGCATCTCCATATGCTGCCAAAACAGCCTGCCAGGCAGTGGAACTGGGGTTGTGATCAGATGGCACCGTCATATCGAAATACATCCTGGTGCATTTAACTGTAGTATTCCTGTCCTTGGGCAGCCCTTGCTTAGTGCAGGCAGACAAGGCTCTCTTCACTTACTGCCAAAATCCAAGGCTGTGTCCACCATGTGAATACTTTTTTTCCCCCAGATTGCTTTGCAGTCCCCTAAAGGAAGACAGCATTTCTAAAAAGTGATCTCCCACCTCAGCTACCACTGCATTTCACTCTGCATCTGCATCCCAAAAGTCACGGTGACAGGATGATGCAGGCATGCTCTGTAGTCTCCCTCCTTTTTTGTCTTCTTTTTTGCCTACTCCTTTTGCATTTTCTAAAAATGATGGAGACTGATAAACAGATATCCAGGTCTGTCAGATAGTCTCTGCAGTTCTGCACCGTGTCTGCTCCTGTTAAAAGATTTATATCAGGAGATGCAGTTACTTTTGTGACAACCAATTTCTATAGCAGTGGAAGAAACAATCTTGATTCAATTCCTTCCCAGTATTTGTATAACTGAATTCTTGTGCCTACTCCAATATATCATAATTGTTGCCATCAGAACGGTAATTTTAGCTTCTACAATTTATATTTAAACCCCCAGCTTTTCCCAGTGTCCCATCTGATTCCCCTGATGCCACAGTGTTCACCACAATTTTATTGCTTCTGGTATGAGAATAAGAAAGCTGACAGCTTAGCCATCTCTTGATGACTATCATGTTTCAAGGTGAGATGGAACTATATTTTTTCAGTGCCTGAATTTCAGTATTAATTCTACTACATGTACCATACCTAGATGCACCTAGCAAACATCTCTAGCATACCTAGAATTACACGGAGGCAGCATTGACAGAACTTCCTATAGGTTTGGGACCGTATCTAGCTTTATCCAGCATCTCCAAAGCAGCCTTCCACAACTGCAGTCTTGTTGGCATCCATACTCTTAACATCTCACAGTGATTTGAAACCGCCAGTGGTAGAAATGTTTCAACCACCTACACAAAGGAGTATCTTTTTTTTCTGAGCTTCTCTCCACCGAAACATTGGTGACATACAGCTTCTCAGGGGTTATCGTGGAAGTATAAAGTCTGCAAATTTGCAAGGATATGTGGCTACCAGGAACATGTTGTTGCTTGGAGTACAAAACCTGCATAATGTTTCTGAGATTGATTCAGGGAGGTGAGCCAAGTTATGACTGACATCGTGGTGGCCAGGTGCTGCATAAACTACTTCAGCTGTGGAACCAGCACATTCACCCCAGAAATAGGGCTTTGCAGTTCTCCTCCTAGCTCCACCAACTGCTCTAGCAAATCAGATAATATGGATGGGTTATTAACCCGTAGCTCGGTAAGCAAAGTCTGTATTGGTCATCAAGTTTCCAGGTATCATTATGTACTGAGACAAGAGCAGCACATGTCTGAGTTCTGCACCACAGAAAGTTTCCTTCCTGCTAGATATTTCCAGTTTAATAGATATTACAGCTAGATATTACAGTTTAATTCTGAACTCCTCGGTATTTCTGAGGGATTAGAAAACACAGAAAAGGTGCTAGCAACATTTTAATTTATTTCTGTCTAATCAGAGTGATTTTTTTAGTCAAAGTCTGATCATAAGAGTGATTGTTCCCCTCAGTCTGGAGAATATGGGGTTATTTTGCATCCAAATCCGCATGCTTTGCTGTATGGCTGTTTGTGGGAGGTTAACAGCAAACACAAGTACCTTTCTTACTTGTCAGCATAAGTTGATCAAGAGAGAGAGACAGTTGACCTCCATTCATTAGTGCTGCTGAGGGGGAAAAGATTTGTCTTTGGTGTAAATTTGTGTTCCCAAATACCACCATTTTGGACTATTTCCTGGTAAAATGCACTTGGAATCAATTTTCTCTTCTTCTACTTCTTTGCTTTCTTCTACTGAAAGCAATGTAGCTTCTTCCTCCCTTGTTGCTGTGGAGTTTGTGTGAGCACCTCTCAGTACAGGGATAAAGTTTGTTCTTTTGATTTTGTTTTGATTTTGGGATGATGTGCCCAGTTGAGTAAGTGGCACTTGAAGGATCTTAATGTGGTTCTGAGTAATAATTCTCTCACATTTGACCCCCTGGCAGCTTACTTATTATTGTGCAGATATTTTTTTACCTCCTGATACTGGTTGCATCAACTAGAGGAGTTCAGGGACAGAGGGGAAGGGTTTGATGCTGAATCGCTGTATAACTGCATTTGTACAGATTGGAGCCTACCCCAGGTTCTTACTCGAGTGGTTACAGCTTCCTGTTTGTAAGAATTATGTATTTATTAGACAGATCACACACCTTGATTGTTTGTGGGGCCCTAAACTTAAATTTATAAAAAACTAAGACCTTTTGGTCTTCTCTGAAAAACTTAATAGAATTGGCTGAGAAAGAAAGCGTGAAGTAATATTTATGATAAAAACTGTTACTACTCCCTAGCTGGGTTTGATCTGTTACTCAAGCTCAGGGGTTACTCCTTTCAGGCTTGGGTAACTTTGCCAACGCCTCTTCTCACATGTTTATGAAGCACATGCTCAAGGTTCAGTCGTACTTTATTCTGATTCCATAAAAGCAACATAAAAGCATAATGCTTCATTTGACTGTCCTGTGCCCTAGTCGTTATGTCAACCTTATCTGAGAACACATTGCTTCGTGGCAAGTCACTGGTCATGAATCATCAAGAGTGGCGTGAATGTGGACAAGCAGTCAAAGATAAAAGCCTTACTGTAAGATAAATGAAATTAGTTGAACTGTAGTTCATACATATTCCATGACATCCTCTGGCTAATACTTCAGCAGAGACCTAAACTATTTGGATTATTAACTGCCATTGTGGCTGGACTTCTAGACCTTTTATGCCTTTAACATACCAAGTAAAGACATCCAGGTCACACAAACCTTGTTCTAAGTTGCACAGCTTTTGAAAGCATTCTCATCTGGGTTTGGGGGGAGTGGGGGACACTCACTCAGCAAGGAGCAGCCCGTCTTCAAGAATTTCAAAGGTATGTATCTTCTTCCTAACGTCAAATGTTACAGAGATGCTTATATTCCTGAAAATAAAGTTCCATTTCTTGTCTTACCTCAGGCACTTGGATTTGAAAATGTCAGTTTTACTTTACCAGGCTGATATTTCAAGTTTTCAAGTCACAAATTAACTTCTCTCATGTGCCTCATAAATCTCTGGGGCTTTATGGCCCTTTCTCAGAACTTCTATAATTTGGGGGTTTTATGCTATGACCATTCCAATTTGAAATATCTACAAATCACAAATTAAGATGTGAGGGGGACTGTAAAATTGATGGTAAATCTGCCTGTCTGAGATGAGTGAACAACACAAGGCCTACGGGAAATAAAGACATCAAATTGGGAATATTTTTTTCCCTTGTGGAGAATCTTGGGCACCAGAGAAATTAGCTCTGACATAATTGTTTCCTTCAGGGACCCTGATAAGTGCCTCTTCTCAATACTTACATGCACTGGGTATCCAATAAACAAGAGATGTAGTATATTTTAAAAGTTCATAAAACTTTCACAGAAGAAATTTAAAGCCACAAGGATTGCTAAATTGGGGCCAGATTTACTCCTTTGAAAATGATTGCAAACCTCTTGCTTGCCTCAGCAGGAGAGAGGTTATTTCCATATTAAGAAATCAAGTATTCTTTTAATCAAGGTATCTTAAAATGGTAATTACTCAATCTTAATTATTTGTCAGCAACACATAATTTTGTTGATATTATAATACTGTTTATTAGCACCATTAATAACTGAGTTATTTTTCTCTCTGGTACAGTTCTAACAGCAAAGTCCATGGGCCTTTTGATAAATTAGTATTTTAGGAGCATGTTCTGCTTGCATTCCTCATGATTAAAAAACAGAGTTAAACTTTCATGTTAAACTACTGGACCTGTAGAGCGCCGTAAGACATTAAATGGTTCATCCAGTGCTGTGATAAACTTTATATTCTAGTACTCCATAGCTTGTAAACATCTGCAGACACAGGCATTTAGCCTGCATTAACTAATCTTGTGTTTTTACAGTGTTTATTCAGGACACCAGTCTATTTTGATTCCTCCCTCAGAACTGGAGACCAATCCCGCTTTGTGGCTTCTTGCCGTGAGTCAGTACAAAGTGAGAGACACTTTTTGTTCCTATTCGGTCATGGAGCTTTGTACTAAGGGACTCGGTTCGCAAACAGAGTCGCTGAAGGTAAGTAACTCTGCCGTCCCGCACAATGTGTCGCCTGCACGGTGGTGTTTGAGAGCCTTCCCTGCCATGAACAGCTGTGCTAAATGTCTGCAGCGAGGAGAAAGTCATCAGAGGGCAAGGGCAGCTTCCACAGAACGTGTGTTATTCCTTCCCAAAGGCTATATATGAATATCAGTCATTCTCTTTCAGATCACCAGGCTTTTAAACATCAAGGAAAGGCTTTTATTTACCTAAGCTTTCTGATCTGTGTTGCAGCTTGTGTTGATAGGCAAGTGTTGGAAAATAGAGGTGTAGACATCCAAGAAGCACAAGGAGTATTATATTATATATTATATTTTATGAATTCCCTGATTATATGAAGTACTAGTTTGGTTTTAGCCCCTGTAGTTGAATAACCACATACTTAAAAGTACTGTATTGTTTTAACTGGATTGTCTCCATTGAGGATGAGGGGGGAGTGTATCTTCTCTTTTTTTTCCCCAGAATTAAAAGCCAGGTAGGCAGTTACATTTCTAAAATCATCTAGAATTTCCAGTATGCTACTGAAATAAATTAGATCTTGGGATACTGATATTTATGATGTCTCCAGCCCTTACCATCCTCACTTAATAATTTCCTAATCAGTTTTTCCAAAGCTAGACACTCTTTCCTGTTTGCTATTATTCATTAGCTTTCTGAATTAATACTGGGAAATAGTATTACTTCCCTTCAGAATTAGCATACCCATCTCTTCCTACGTGCTAACGTTGAGATGACAAGCAAGTATGTCTGCTCTTCTACAGCTATTAGATTGTCATCTGGCCATCCGGCCTCCGGGAAGGATGGAAATTATACTGGCAGCTTAGCCTCTATTCCGCTATTCCTCTTGAATCATAATACCTACCTAATACACTTAAAGTACTACTAACTGTTTTTCATTAAATCTGACCATTTGTGGCCTTTGTTACATTTTGACTTCTTTTTAGGCAAGGGGACTGGACCTTTCACGTGTACGGACATGTGTAGTAGTGGCTGAAGAACGACCTCGGATAGCTCTTACTCAGTCATTTTCAAAATTATTTAAAGACCTTGGTCTCCATCCGCGGGCTGTCAGCACATCACTTGGCTGTAGAGTTAACCTGGCAATATGTTTGCAGGTAAGATTTTTCATTCCTTAAGCTCAAAGTTGGTTTAAGAAAATGATTTTCAGTAAGAAGCATTCATTTTATTTCCTTTGGTTGCTTGGTTGTAGACATATGAAGAAAATGCATGTGGTACTTAATGTTCTTGCATATACAGGTGGTAAATTTCTGTTACTTTGTCAACTCTTCATCCCTCTCATGTTGCAATCATAGCATTTATTCTGCCCATTAATACAGTAATTCAGAAACGTGTACAGTGGTGACAGAATGCATACTCTGTACTCCAGAAATCGTATTTAGTCATGTAATGTAAAATACAGTGTCCAAGTGCTTTAGTATGGTACAAAATGGATTCCTTCTGTCTATAAAATAATTCCAACTATTAATTAACTAGATAGATATTTTCTGCACACAGTTTATTGCTTACAATGGAAAATCATTTTGCTACATCTCTTTCATTCTGTTTTGATCCACTAATCAGAAGAAAGTACCTAGTGATAGTATAGGATTTAACTTGCATTCTCCAGGAATCTTTATTGACTCATGATTTTAAGGACAGGTGAAGCACTGTAGCTATCTGGTCTGAATTTCTGAATAGCCCCTAATGTTTTGACCCAGTGATAACTACACAAAGCAAATGGTTTTAGGCTGATCTACAGTATATTCTTTTATCTTTCAGGACTTCAGGTGATGAAAGTTAACTTGCCTTTTTATAAGGTGTTCAATTTTTAATTAATTTTGTCTTATTTCTAGTTTAAATGTACCTGGCATTAGATTCAGCCATTTTTTTATTTTATTACATTTTTCTTATCTAGAATAAAGAATCTCGTTTCTATCATGACACATCTTAGTCTTTGGTAAATAGATAAAGAATCCTAAGACATGCTTTCCTGATCTGTGTCTCATTTTTATGACTCCTGATCTCTTTATAACCTTCCAAACCAGGTATCAGACCTTCACATATTATTCCTGTAGTAATGCCACAGATGTCCTACTCAGATGTAATATGATTTCTGGCTTAATAATGTTTTTAAATAGTACAATAACCATCTTCTATATTGGCAGCTGCATTGGCTGAGAAGTTCCATATCCATTTGGTCACCTACCATGTCTCCCCAGTAGAACTTGCCTGTACTCTATATGGCGCATCCCACATTTCAAATCTTGTGGTTACCCGTAGTTTATGTTAAAGGATTTCTCATGCATGTAACATGCATAATTGCTTAGGTGTGGAAGCTAGAACAGATTTTCTCAGTGAAACTGCAAATAAGGCATTTGCTATTCTTTTCCTGATTGTAAATGTAAAGATTTTTTTATTTTATCCAAAAAATTTTACAAATACAGGTTATGGTTTAAGCACAGACCAGTATGTCTGTGTGTTAGGCCTGCCTTCGCCTCTTGCCCAGTTCAACAGCACTAAAGAATCCTGGCTTTCGTCAGACCTCAGCTAAAAGTGACCTTGTAATTCAGCATGTTACCAGAATATGAATACAAGAGGTATGCCACATCTCCAGTACTGCTTGCTTTCTCTCCGACTACCAGCAGAGTACCCCTTCAGCCCAAGGTGACTTTAATTATTATTATCAAAGATACAACAAGGCAAAGCTGAGCAGGTTTAAAAGTCATTCTGTGTCCCAGAGGTAGAGTTCCTTAGCTTGATATTCTGTAATTGCTGCCATAAATATTCTCCATGAAGAAAAGTTTAAGAAAATCTCCTGTAGTCTCAAAAGCAGAACTTGGATCCTTCAAAACAGTTTTACCTTAATAAAACTTAATAAATAGTCTTGAGAAAAAAATATCTTGTAGAAGATAGAAACATCTATGAACTCAAGCAGCATCTTCCCCCATATTTCTGTCATGGATTTGATACAAAAAGTACTGACAGGTTTTGAAATCTCTTCTACTGAATCTTTCTTAGCAAGAATACAGCCCTTTTCATTTCTTTCTACATATCTAGACTCTTGGGTGATGACAAGGCAGAGAGGACAACTGAAAAAATGTCTAGGATATCTTTAGGCACTCCCACCCAAAACAGCACAATTTGGACAGTACCAGTTTAGGCCAGTTAGCAGATGCAGGGTGGTGTGCTTTCCCAGTCAGCAACCCAACCAAGCTTAAACACTTGGGTGGGAGGGGCACAACAGGCAGCAAGGACACTACTTTACCTCAAGTAGAAAGGGAAAACAGAGGAGAAAGAGGTGAACTGGTTACTTGATAACAATAGTTTTCTAATCTGCTCCTGTATCTTTAGCCATTTTGAAGTGGCCATGGGATGTCTTTTACAGAGGAGGGGAAGGAGGGAAGTGATGGCATACCTTCGTGGCTGACTGCTCTGACTTTCCTGACAGATCAAGATGGGGCCCATCAGCTCCCCCCTGCAGCTGTGGTGGAGCTGCTTCTGAAAAATAATTGAACTTCTCTGGCTTCTGGTCCACGGAGGGACAAGGCATGAAGGATGCTGTAGATAACAAGGACAAATTGGCTGCAGAAGTTTGCTTGCCAGTAATGTAAATCTCCATTTCAGGCTTGAAGTGATCTCTGGACTGTTTGTGGTGGTTCCTTCACTTACTACATAAGTCATTTGTTCAGGACAAATAATAAAACCAGTGAATGACACTAAGCAGCAGTAAGCCAGGTTCAATGACCAACTATGCCTTGTTGGAAGTAATATTGTACTGGGTCTGCCTGGGATGGAGTTAACTTTTTTAATAACAGCCTGTATGGAGCTGTGTTTCGGATTTGTGACTGAAGCAGTGTTGATAGCACACCAGTGGTTTAGCTATGGTTGAACAGTGCTGCACAGCACCAAGACTTTCCCCCTTACTCACTCTGCCCACCACACCACCGCCCCCATGCCGCCAGCAAGTAAGCTGAGGGAGAGCAAAAGTCTGGGAAGGGACACAGCCAGGAAAGCTGTCCCAAGCTGACCTGGGATATTCCTACCATATATTGTCATGCCCAGCACCAAAAAAGGGGGGGTTGGTCTTCCAAAGTACCCATTGCTCAGAGACTAGCTGGGCATTGTTCTGCTTGTGGGAGGTGGTGAGCAATTGCTTTTGCATCACTTGGGTCTTTTTTTCCTTTCCTTCGCTCATTAAACTGTCTCGATTTTGACCCATGGGTTTTCTCACTTTTGCTCTTCCTCAGCTCTCCCCTGTCCTGCTGGGAGGGAAGTGAGTGAGCGGCTGGGTGGGTACTGAGCTGCTGTCTGGGTCAACCCACTACAAATGGGCAGGAAAGCTGAATACACTCAGAGAAACTGGGAGTCCTAATCAGCATGGAGTTAGGCTGGATTTTTGCTTGACTATGTATATCTGACTTTTGACTGTGTTAACTCCTTCGCTGAAGTTTGCTTCCTAGATGGTTCTTTACCGAATCTTGAAAGAGTTATTGAATCAAACTGTAAAAGTGGATATCTCTCTGAAGGAATATTATTAATGATACCAACTATGTTAAGAACAGCACAGAATGAGAGCCTTGAGTGAGGTGATTAACAGCCTGGCTGATCATATAGCTTAGTGTCAGGCTTCACTGAGTTCTACCAAGGTGTTGCATCTCAGTCCGTAGGACAAATTAAAAGCCATACACGGTCTAACAAGTACTGTGGCTAGAATGAAGAAAAGACATTTCAGAACAGGTAATATTTAGTAACGTTACTCATCCAAGTGGAATCGTTTTTGAAGCATTTAAGCCAAGGGTAGGTTGGCAAGCTTTAAAGGGGTTTGAAAAATTACTAAAGATGTTACATACAAGCATCACCACAAAACATGTCATTTTGGTAGAGAATATAAAGATACAGGATTGCGTCCTTTGAAGCATCTGGTAGTAGACACTGCCAAAGACTGGATACTGAATTAGACTGACTGCTCTTTCCAAACTGTCTGGAAGTTTATGGCTAGTGATATTCCAGAATAGCTTGTGGGCTATTCTGTTTTCTGGGCTGAGGAACAGAATGAATTTTAATTCTTCATCAACAATGTTCCTGAAATCAGCATTGTCTCCAGTATGTTCCAGAAATGGGTCATGATTTCTGGATTCTTCACACTGCATAAAGATAGTTCTAAAGATGTTTGTGTCAATAGCATCTGCCTTTCCTTTTTTTTCTTCCAAGTTTTGTCATCCATGAGATCAGCATGTGGCTCCAGGAACACCATCTTCCACAGGGATAACTGTGATCCGGCCTATTCTATGGTCTTTCTAAAATATGTATGTACTAACCACCTTTCTAAACATCTCTCAATATTCAGCTACTGACCCTTACCAGCAAAAAGCCTATCCAGGCTTTCTTCTCTATGGGCTGCCTCTAACACAACTTGGATGTGATCTTTGATACCTTCTTCACTTCATTTCCAATTTTTTTGACAAATTGAAAACTCAGGTGTTTCAAGGGGAAGGTATCCTGATTTTTCAAAAAGGTTTTACTGTTTTTCCCCCCTCCAAAAAGAAGAGGGGAGGAGGTGTACCTACATGTATGTGTGTGTGTGTCTGTGTGTGCGTGTATAAAAACTTCATAGCAGAATTTTACCTTTTATTAAAAAGATTACTTTAAAAAGGAAATCATTGTAATAATCCCTTTGGTACAAAAGAGCCTTAGTCTACCAAACGATCTTAATTTCAGGATTAAGATCACTGAGAGACTAATGCATTGTCATTTGTATTCCTTGTCTCTCAAATTTAGAGCAAATTTACTATGTTTCTTTTGATGTAGTCATTTTGAACTAGATTTTGAGAGGTATACTTTTGAAAATAAATAATTCTCTCCATCTTTAGGCACTTAAATACTATTAATATCTGACCTTTTATGGCTGTATAGTTACAGATAATGGTCCAGGGATTTCTGAGATGAAAAGATTACACCTAGCATATTTTAATTCTTATTAAATAGCATTTTCTCTCTCAAGAGAGAGAAAAATAGATCTGAAAAATAGCCTGTTTCTTACAACAGCACAGATGGTTCTCTAGGATTTTAGCTAATTTCCATTTGATATAAATATTTTAATTTTATTCAACCTGCT